ATGCACAAAAACAAGACAGAGCAAAACCAAGCAACAGTATACAACAAAACAGCAACAACAAACCACTGACAAAGAACAAAACAAAACACAACAAGAAAGAAAAGCTTGTCGTTAGTTCAAGGATCCTTTGTTGGTCGTTAGGTTCCTTCCTTTTTCTGACTTTCAAATTAACCCCTGTGGGAGTGAGTGCTCGCCTCTATCTATAGACTCTGGAAAGGCATTGGAGTCTAGACGGTCACAGCGAGTGGTGGTGTTTAGGAAGAACAGTAATTTTGTGAAGGAGCAAGTGCCCGTGTGTGTGTGTGTGTGTGTGTGTGTGTGTGTGTGTGTTTAGTCCCCATGGGACCTGAATGAAAATGGTTTGGGGGAGTTAAGCCTGATTTTTAAGAGGCCAGGGTCAAGCAGCCTGCGCTTTATCTTAGTTTTGTCATTCGCTAGCAGTTGATATTGGGCTACCGAAGTAAAGGAGCCTCAGTTTCCACTTCTCTGAAATGGGACTCAGTGGGGGTATAGACGGAGTATCTGTGGCTCAGAGGCTGGCACGCAGTAACTGCAGGATGTCAAATCAGGTTAGTCCAGTTCACCCTGTGGTGAGAATTAGCGTTCCCACGCACAAACTACACTGAATAAGAACACACACCCTCCCCCCGGGGGTGGGGGCTCTATGTCGATCCTGGTCCAGTATCTCGTGAGTTGCGGCAACGCAGAATACCAACAGGGGTTGAACTGGACCCAGCCAGCTCCGAGCCCAGCATGAAGGCCAGCTGCAGCAGATGCACCACCCTTTGACCCTGAAACAAAACCAGTGTGAGCGGCACCAGGCACGTGGGTCCACTTATGCATGATTTCTTCCAATACATGTATTGGAAGATTTTTAAATGGTTTGTGGCCCAAAAATTGACAGATGAAGCTAGTTTAGCCTAGAAATAGTGGAAAGCTGAAAAGTTTCATGACATATATGTAGATACTAGTCTATTTTGTCATTTACCACCATAAAAGGTACACATGTACTATAAAAAGTGAAGCATTTGCCACAACTTTAACTAACACACCATACATGGTACCATTCTCAGTCATGTGGTGGTTAGGTGACGTTGAATTGGCTCTAACCCAAAACGAAACACTGCACGGTTCTGTGCTGTCAATGGCCTGAGCCTGCCTATTGATGCAGCCACCGTGTCAATCCATCTCATCCAGGGCTGCCTTACTTCTTCCAAGACAGATTGACATCCTTTCATCAGGCATGGATGGTCCTTTTCATGTTCCTCTACAGCACCACAATTCAAAGGCATCCATTGCTCTTGGCTCTGCTTTATTCAGTATACACCTTTCACATGCATGGGATGCAGTGGAGTACAGTACACCATGGCTTGGGTCAGGTGCACCTTAGTCCTCCAAGTAATGTCCTTGCTCTTCGATACTCTAAAGAGCTCTTTGTGCCGCAGCTCTACCTAATGCAATAAGTCTCTTGACTGCTGCTTCCATGAGCATTGATTATGGATCCAAACAAGACAAAATCCTTCACAACTTCAATCTGTTCTCCATTTATCATGATGTTACCTATTGGTCTAATTGTGAAAATTGTGGCCTTTTACACATTGACTTGAAATCCGTACTGAAGGCTGCAATCTTTGATCATCAGCAAGTGCTTCAGTTCCTCCGCACTGTCAGCGAGGAAGGTGGTGTCAGCTGCCTGTCGCAGGTTGTTAATCAGCCTTCCTCCAGTCCTGATGCCACATTCTTCTTATGATCCAGCTTCTCTGATGATGTGCTCAGCAGACAGATTGAATAAGTATGGTGGGAGGATCCAACACAGACACACACCATCCCAGATTTTAAACCATGCAATTCTCCATCTAGAGAAATGCAAACGAATGCAAAAAACTGCAGTATTAATGTTCAGCTGCATAAAGTGATCTCTTCCAGTTTTCCAGATTTCCTCGCATGGACAAGAGAGTACTTGTAGTGCGTCCTCCGCTGGTTGAAACATTCCATTTGGTGTTCCATCCACTCCTGGAGCTTGTTTGCCTGCTGCTCTCGGGGCAGCTTGAGCTCCTTCCTGCAGCACCCTTGGTTTTTGCTCATAAGCTACCTCCTGTTGTGCACAGGGTCGCTGTGGGTCGGCTCCTCCTCGATGGCACCTAACAGCAGCAAGCACAAAATGAACTGGTACCTAGGATCCTGCTGTAGTGATTCTGTGGTTCCCTCCTGTTGCTGTTACAGTGAGCTCAGGTGTTGCAAGGAAGTCAAAGGCCATGTGGTGCTAAGCATTGTAACTATCTCTGTGGGGGGGGGGGTCATTTTTAATTCATATTGAAGCAGAGGACTCTCTCCTGTGCTTCTGGCATATTTCCTCGGCTTTACCGCCATGCTGTAAGCCCAGGATGGGACCCATGCAAGGTGCCACTACTGATGCTAGAAGGGACCCCAAGCAGCAGAGGACAGTCAAAATGGCATTAGTGAAGATGGTTGGGTGTTTCCTGAATCCCCCATAGGGGTGGGCAAGAAACGGTGCTGGGAGGCAGGAGAGACGGGACACTTCAGGCACAACTGCTGTGAGTGGTGGCCGCCTGTTCCCTCCACTTTATTACCATTCGCTTATGGCTCCAGCTTTGGGGCATGAAGGGTCTGGGGCCTGAACTTTGGCTTGGCGGGTGGCCGGGAGAGAATGGCTGAGCCCTCTTCAGCAGGTCTAAAAGGAGGAGCGGCCCCATCAAGGCACAGAGAAATCCCCTGAAGAAATCAGGGTGTTGGTGTGTGGGCAGGAACAAAAACCAGGCCAAAGCCCCTTGAACAGTTCTAAAAGGAGCCCTGAGCGTTTGTGAGGTGACAACAGGAAGCGGGGGCTGGAGCCCCCCCACGTCTGAAATCCTCCTCCTCGTTTTCGCCCCTCAGGAGAAGTTTGAAATGCAGCATTCTGAAGGGTACCGGCAGATGTCTGCCTTGGAGGATGACCTTGCCCAGACAAAGGCCATTAAAGACCAATTGCAGAAGTACATCAGAGAGCTGGAGCAGGCCAACGATGACCTGGAGCGAGCAAAGAGGTACGTTGGGAAGGGCAGAACTGGCTCGGGAGCTTTTTCTTTCTTTCATGTTTCTCCACCTTTAACCGATTCCTTATTTTGTTGTGCTTACTGAGAAACCGTCCATCGCAGAGCATAAAGGCCGGTTCCATGATCCCCCCGTGCAGTTCAGCGGCATCGAGCACAGTCTCAGTTCTAACAGCCGTTCTTGTCCTCCTCCTCGGAGTGGCTCCTCCTGCAGGCTGGACACTCACGGCTCCTCCAAGCTTCCGACCTGCTCTTCCCAGTTGCTGCCATCATGGTCCTCTCATCTCCATAGACCTTGAAAGTCCTTCAAGGTAGACCCTTTTACTACTTCAGCCAAACTACTGTTAGGATGGAAGACCCCTTTCTGGGAGTATTTTTGACTTGAGTTTCGGTTTTAAGTTGATTTCAGGGCAGTCATTTCAAGCTGGTATTGTTTGGTCTCAGGTTTTAGCCCCTGTGACTAAGTACCAGGATTCAGTGTAGACAGTCTAGCAGTGAGCAACAATAAGGAAATTAGTGCAAATTAATTGCGGCGTTAAGTGCTACAGGTCCCGGGTGCTCTGGGGATGGATGCATAATGTGATGTCTGAGCTTGGCTTTGGGAGGGAAAACATCAGACAAGGCTTCCCAGAGGAAATGCCAATGAGGCTGAGGCCAGAGGGATGAAGCTGCATATCCAGGAGAGGTGAGAGTGGAAATAGCATGTGCTAAGGACCGAGTAAGGCCTTCGGAAGGAAAGAGGAGCATGTTCAAGGAATGGTGTTTATTAAACTAATGTTCGGTGGCTCGGCAGAAGGATAGTAATACCCAACATTTATTGACTAACTATTCTGAACCAAGCCACTTCGAAAAGCAGCATCTGTGTTTTCTTTAGATAGAAATTCCATATAGTGGAATATACAGGCCCCAAGTCCATCTATAGTTCCTGGAGTTCAGACCAGCGCTGCATTCATGGGTCCCATTGGCCCCGCCCTCTGAGCCCCTTGCATGATTTTTGCAGTTAGTGGTTGCTGTAGGGATTGCCGTCTGCCATCCGTCCTCCCTCTCTGGATTCCGTACTTTGGAATTCCCCTACTGAAAAAGGATGCATTTGTAACCCCCAAAGTCATTACTGGAGGTGGTTTCATGACCCTGCGTGACACACACAACTAAGAAAGAAGGGAACCACCTGACAGGGTGCCTGCTGAAGTCCAGCCCCGTGTGACACTGCCTTTCGGCCCAGCTCTCCTACCGTAAATAGGTTCTTTTTGCGGTATCTCTAGAGCCACCCTTGTCTGGATGTTTAAAAAGACCTCCTGGCATAGTGCTGAGATGCTAGCTAGAGTTCCTATAAGAATGGACTCCTCCCTTGATGATGGGAAGAGAGACTCACCCTCACCGTCAGCCCAAGCTGATTGCTCTCAGGTGAGGGCGCCACAGACTCGCTCCAGCCTCTCGACCGGTTCTGACAGCCGCTAGCCCTCTCACGGCACTCGCTGTTTCTAGGCTGGGTTTGGTCATTTGTTACACTGGCCACACAGAACTCACAGCCAGGCTCGGGATTGATTCTGAGTGTAAGGCATTTAGTAAGGGAGTCACTTGGTACAATGATTCAGGATCAGGAGGGACTCGGGAGGAGAGGGCTTTGATTAACATCCTCTTCTTCCTTGCGACTTTGGACAGGACTCTCTGTGGCTCTTGGACTCTCGGTCCACCCTCTGCCCTGTTTGGGCAAGTGTTACCAAGCTCTGTCGTGTCAATAAGTGCCCGTGGGTCAACACATGGATTGTAACTTCCTTGTTTTATGGGCCAGGAAGGCCATTGCACCATCGTGCTCTAGTGGCTTGACTGCCGCCGCCACTTCTCATCAGCTTATAGCATCTTCAGTGTTAACAGTGCCTCCCTCTTGGATCAGGAGGTTCTCCGCACGGTCCTGGAGCCCAGAGGCTATGCTCTGCTTCCCTCTCTTGGTGATAGTTAAGGGGTCCCCCCTTGCTCTATTGGGTTGACTTTTAATTTAAGCATAGCCAGATGTCAAAACTGTCCAAACCTTTGATGGGGCGTTCATACACTTGATGTGCGAGGCCCAGCCTTCACCAGGGAGCTGTGCACTTGACCTGCTGGCTGCCCAGGCCCCTGGATTGGCCATAGGCGCCTTGTTTGCATTCGAGTCCTTGTTGCTCTGTTTTGAGCCCATTGTGGCTGCCCCTGTGTCCGTCCATCCCCTCGACTGCCTTCCTCTTTTTGGCTGACTCTCCACTCTACCAGGCTTGATGTCCTTTTCCAGGGGCTGGCTTTTCCTGACATGTACCAGAATACCTGAGACTAAACCGTGCTGCCCTCGCTTGTGAGGCGCATTCTGGGTGGGCTTCTCCATGACAGATGCGTGTGTTCCTGGGGCAGTCTGCGGCGTTGTCTGTGTTTTGTGGTCGTTATGTCTAGGACATTTTAATAACTGTCTCCTGTATGCCCCGCTACCTTCGCGGGTATATTTGCAGTGAAGGTGCACATAGACATGTCTTCGATCAAATCTGTATGTACTTGTGGGTGTATTCCCACTGCCCACACCTGTTCAGTCTGCACGTACCTACAGGCATCTCCATGGAGACCACTGTTATCACAGGACTGTGTGGATAACAGTATTTGCCTCTGTACCTTTAACTGTCGCAGACATCCCTGTGTCTTCTGCCGTAGCATATTTTGTTAATCCCCCTCTTATTGTGTATTGTCTTTCTCCTCATCCGAGATAACAGTACCAAGATAGAGTCCAGCACATGACTTCTGTCCCTCTCCTCCTGCCCTATTTCTGAATATCTTCAAAGGATGTTTCTTTTCTTTTCACCCCATGTTATTAGGACATAATCCAGATATGATACCATTCAGTGGTTCAGCAGTCAACACAAGCAGTGTTGGGCATTGGCCTCCCCAGTCATTTTCAAAACATTTTCTTCCATGTACTCCTTGATATCGGCTTCCCATGACACCCCCTGTCCCGCCTGTCATACCCACCCGGAACGTTTATTCTAGTTATTGTCTCTATCGGTTCACCCATCCCGGGTTTCCAGTAAAGAACACTACTAAAAATAACAAAATACAAGAACACTACTAAAAATAACAAAATACAGGAGATAAGCACCCATTTGAAGAAACAGACAAAATGTTAAAAATCAGATCAAGCTCACAGTGTACAAAAAAGGGAGACCAAATGACCAAAGTTTAACTATTAAGTCAGATTTATTATTTTAATCTACTATAATCTTCTCTCCAATAGTCGTTACTCCCATTCCTCATTGTGGTCAGAGGGGAACTGCTGGAGGCTTATTCCAAATCTTGATCCTGCAAATGTATTTTGGGCTTCCACTGTCACTCAGAGCCTTCTGCAAACCAGAATTTCACAATTTAAGTTCGGACATCATTTTCTCCTTGGGATTGGATTTTAAAGAAATCTTCCTCAAAAGATGTGCCTAATGCAGGCAGTTGATGGATATCTTGACTGCTGCATCTTTAACAGTGGTACCCGGACAGCTCCCTTTGTTTATCGGTCCTTATTTTCTTCATGTTGAGGGGCAGCCCATTTGGTCAGCCACAGGTCTTGTCTTCATCAGTAAGGGCTTCACCGCCTCACTTTGAACAGGTGAGGATGTGTCAGCTGCACATGTTAGGGGTTAGTCTTCCTCTAGTCCTGGTGCCAGGGTCTTCCTGTAGTCCAGGGTCTGGGAATCTGCTCATCATCAAAATTGAGTAAGTACGGTGAAAGGATGCAGCCCTGCTCCGTACCTTTTCCAATTTCAATCCTGTTGCATTCCCTTGTTCTGCTCAAACGACTGCCTCTTGATCCATGGACAGGTTCCACAGGAACCCGACTGGGTACCTGGGATTTCCTATTCTTCAAAACAGTATCCATCATTTGTGGCCTTGTATATTTTCTGATTTCTGGCAAGCCACTGACATTCTGTCATTTTCTTTTACAGCAAGTCACATGTTCAAGCCATATCATGAGATGAGAAAGTGTATTCCTCCCATCGAGGCCATGGGTAGGATATGGATACAGGGAAGGGGGTAAGGAATTGGGATCTGTGGTGCAGGTAACCACAGAGCAGTATTACACTCATTCACTGGGTGCAAAATAGTACTTCAAGGAGTAAAAAGTTTCCTTACAGGTAATCATCGAAGCAAATTGTTCGTCTTTGCAACTATGGCTTCTAGTTTCCTTTATGACTTACTAAGAGTGTTTGCAAATTCAAGCAAGTGTGAACAAATTCTTATTTTCTGTCCCCCACCCCCTTTCCTTCCTACAAATTATAGCATTCTTTGTCCATTGTTCAATGTCTTGCTTTTTCACAAAACAATAGATCTTTGAGACTTGCTGTAGCAGGACACAGAATATTCCTTGTTTTCCCTCCACAATGCATACTATTCCATTGTATGATTCTACCATCATTTATTTTTCCAGTTTGCTTCCTTAAAGATTATAGCCGCGCAAATCTTCCTTACTTTCTTACTGCTTGACTGTCTTCAGGGCTGGTGTGAGTTAGGATGAACTCCACAGCAGTGTAGTTTCTGGTCATCCGCTGTGTTCCTCTCTTTTGCATCGATGGACTTTGCTTCATGAATAGCCTGGGGCAGAATAAATCCCCAGGAGTCAAATTGCTGAGTCAGGATAGATACACGCGTGATGATGATAGTTAATGCCGAATTGCTCTCTCCCCATCTGTGTACCAGGTTACGTTCCCACCTGTTCTATCTGAGAGCCTTGTTGCCAGATAACCCCGTTCACCACAGTGGTTTTCAAACTGGATTGCTGGCAATACAGTAGTTGAGGGAAGGGATGTTTCTAGAGTGACTTTGAGTTTCTTCTGTTTCAGGTCCTTTTCCTGTGAACTCCGTCTGTCGACTGTTCTCCCCTGGACTGTCCTGGTTGTGCTGGGAGGCTTTTCTGTGTGTAGAGGAGTCACCAGCACGTTCCCATTTGGGCATCTGTGTTCTGTCTTGTGCGTGACTGAGCAGAAGTTCTTTTCTTTCTATGTAGTCAAATTTTTCAGTTTTCTTTTATACCTTGTAGAAGGCTGCAGTCCTAGGCTTTTTGCCCTCAGAATTTTATGAAATTAGCCCATGTTCTAGTTTTATGTTTTCTTTTCCTTTAAAAAAATCTTTTTTTCTCCCCTTAAAGAAGCCTTTAATTCACATTTTGGTCAAGTGCTGAGGAGTTGATTGATGGTTAACATCAGATGGGGAGAGGCTCCAATCATGACTGTCCATTGAGAATGGACAGGTTTCTGTAGTACAATCATGACTGTCCATTGAGAATGGGCAGGTTTCTGTAGTCCAATCATGACT